TTCTGTCACATTATACCTTTTTCTCTCTCCCGATTTCCCCCTAAATATTTTCCCATAAGTACGTTTGCATAAAATAAATTGTTCCCATGAAATAAATTGTTCACATAAATAGTACATTGTGCTTCTTATCCGTAGCTCCATGCTGGCCATTAACAAAGCTTACACACAGCCAAAATAATAAAATCATATCTGCCCTAATTTTTAAGTACCTACTATGTGTATGGCCATCTCTATGCAAAGTGTTTTACATATCTTAAATGTAATCCTCTGATGGGTGTAGTCTTTAAACAGGCTTCCCATTTTACAGATGAGGATATTGAGGTTAGAGAACTTGCCCAATTGCAATACTGGAACAGAGCAGAATTTGAAGCCAGGTCCTCCTCAACTCCCTAATCGCTGACTTTTGGAATTGGTGTTTGTATACCTTTTGTGCAACTTCTGGGATGGGACCCACTATGCCAAAATGCACTTAGCATAATGACAGTCTGTATCAGTCATGGGCTGCCACATATAAAATAGGTGTTATGTGACTTCAAAAAATTGTGTCATGGCACGGTTGTAGAGAATTAGATCTTTGAAAGTAGAAAATGGTGTATTTTCAAAACACGACTTTGCTGCATTGTTTCATTTGTGTGTTTTACAGCTGACCAAGAGTATGAAGATGGCATTGAAAGGACGTGTGACACTCTCCTTATGTGTATTGTCACCGTCCTGAACCAGGGCCTCAGGAACGGAGGCGGAGTGGGAGACGTGCTGAGAAGGCCATCCAAAAATGTAAGTGGCATATTCATAATCATTTTTTTAAAGCCTTTCTTAGCAACGTTTACAATATGGTTTTGGTTTTCAAAGTACTATTTGTTTCTTGCTTTAAAAGTATAATGGTGGCCATTAAAGCCAATTAATTGTATGCTAGGGTTACATAGAAATAGCTAATGTACTCAAAATCTATGTTGTCAGTAGGGTTATGAACTTGTTCCAAGTTTGAACGGTGTCTTATATTACAGCAACAAAATCATGACTACAAACTTTACAGAGGAGTTGAGTGTTACATAAAAAACAGACCAGGCTGCCTCTCGTCTATCAAGTTTCTGAGGCATGAAGATCTACTCTTTGCTTCTGAACAGGAATAGTCCCCATTAATTTATCTATGATTAATATACAATTTAAACATTCTAACAGGATTTCATATATTAAAATGGCAAGGCTGAAAATTTTTTCATTAGCTTCAAAAGCTGAAGCATGAGGCTGAGAGCTTAAAAAAGCTCAGTTCTTCAACAGGCTGGCTATATCATGTTGTCAATTTATCTAATGTTGCCTCATCTATGAAACAGCTGGATTACATGATCACTAATGTGTATTTTAATACTGTTCATCAAGTAGAAATAGCTTGAGCTGTATGTACTTGACCCTGTAAAGCCAAGAACAAAGCCTGCTCCAAAAATTGACAAATCATTAGGTCCTCCTCAACTCCCTAATCGCTGGCTTTTGGAATTGGTATCTGTATACCTTTTGTGCAACTTCTGGGGTGGGACCCACTGTGCCAAAATGCATTTAGCATAAATGACATAGTAAAGGGGTTTTTAATCAAAGGTATGTCTCTCCTTTGAAGGGGTGGGAATGGGGGGAATGTAAGTCTTAGAGGAGGGAAGGCGTTCTGGGAATAGGCTATGAAGCTTTTTTCATGACACTTAAAACAAAGCTAGAAAGTGGTTCTTTTTCCAACTTGGAATACTATTAATTTAGCAAACACTTATTGAATATATTCTCTATGCTGAAAAATATGCTAAATCACCATGCCTGGAAAATGTGTGTGTGTGTGTGTGTGTGTGTGTGTGTGTGTGTCTATATATATATATATATAATTTTATTTTAAATTTTTATTTCAGGAGCCTCTGTTTGCTGCCCGAGTGGTATATGACCTTCTTTTCTATTTCATTGTTATCATTATCGTTCTTAACCTGATTTTTGGTGTCATCATTGATACTTTTGCTGATCTCAGAAGTGAAAAACAGAAAAAAGAAGAAATTCTAAAGACCACCTGCTTCATCTGTGGTAAGTGTTCTCAAGATACTAAAATAGATGAAGAAACTGCCTATGAGGAGGGAAGGACTAGAATAATGTTTATTTGTCATGTTTTGGGAAAAATTATTTCAAAATGAAAGCTGGACAAAATTCAGATTATATAACAGCATTGGACTTGGGTTCTCTGTTCCACAAATAGAAGAATTGCATCTCAAATCTTATTATTTCTACAATTTGTATGATGCTCTGACTATAAAATGTTTTGCACAATGCCAAAGTGTTCCGTCAACTGGCAAACAGATTTTTCATCACAGTGACATATTGATTAAATAGCAGAATCATTTTCATTTTATTTTGTTAGATTATGAATCCACAGATGATTTTTCTAGCAGCTTGAACTTTTACTCACTGACATGTTTTAGATTCTGAACTGTGCTTTCTCTCCAGTTTTAAATACATATATTCATTTTTTATTAGCTTCAGATATACAAAGCAAAATAATAGTTACACATTTACACCACACACAAAGTGATAACCCTCCTCCACCAAGCTACTATCCCTCTGACATCTTATATAGCTGTTACAATACCATTGACTGTCTTCTGTATGCTATAGTCTACCACCCGTGAATGAATATATATATATATATATGTGTGTGTATATATATATATATATATATATATATATGTAATTATAGCTAACATACAATATTATTCTACATCAGCTTCAGGTGTACAGCACATTGGTCAGGCATCTACACGGTCTATGAAGCAATCCCCCTGATAAGTCCAGTACCCATCTGGCACCCTACAACATTTACAACATTGTTGATTATATTCCCCATACTGTATTTCATACCCCCATGACTATATTGTGTCTACTAATTTGCACTTTCTAATCCCTTCACCTTCTCCTCTGTCACCTCCCCTCTCCCATCTAGCAAAACAGAAATAGACTCAGAGATATAGAAAAAAATCTTTGGTTGCTAGATGCTTTCTCTCCATTTTTAATCAATCTCTCTCTCCTTCTCTCTCCCTTTCCCCCTCTCTTTCTCCCCCCCACTCCCTCCTTCTCCCAGAACCCCTTTCTCCCTGCCTCTCTCTCACCACACTGTCCTCCCCTCTCCCATCATTAACTCTTTCAGGACCAACCTTTTCTTTGTCTTCACCATTCCCTTTGGCTCTACCCTCTTCTCCATATTCCTCAGCCCTTTCTGGCTTTAGTTGTCTCTGTAGCTGGCCTAGTCACCGCAGAATCCTTGCCCCTCCTTGAATAATCACCAACTCCACATTACACTCACCATCCCTTTTTTTTTTTCTATGTTGGGCTGAAGAATCTTTTGATAAAAGTCACAAAACAAGCATAAAGCCTTCATCACCACATTATGCTGTATAACTTAAATGGGGACCTCAGTAAGTCCCATTCCCTCTTTGGTTCACCTTTTGTCAACTGTCTCATTCCCTTAATGACTCTTCCAAACCTTTCCAACATTCCTCCAACAGTCGAAGGTGTACCAAGTAGTCACCTGTAATAATGAGTTATGTTCTGAGAAAACAAATGAGTCATGCCCTTCTTCAGGGTGTTCACAATCTATTGTGGAATTAAAATACAATAAATATCATTGGTATCTAATGTGTTAAGGAAAATAATAGAGAAGTTCATGGTGNAAATATCTTTTTGTTTTCTGATGGTCTTAGGCAACCCCTGTGAAAGGGTCATTCCACCCCCAAAGGGGTCGCGACCCACAGGTTGAGAACCGCTGGCCTAGACCATTGTTCTTACGCTTGAAATCTTTTCCTTCCCACCATCTGTTCCCCCTCTTCCTAGAACACTCTTAGGTCCTAACTGAACCTTCTTCTGCATTCTGTTATCCCCCTCCCCCTCAAACTAATATCCTATCAACCCCCTTCCTTTTAGTATCAAATTTTCCTATGAAACATTGGCCTAAAACTCTCTCCTTCAACTTCTGCATCATTTATCTTCTCTTTCACTATTTGCCACTTTCCTATTGTTTCCTATGACCTAATTGTTAAATCCAGTGACCGTTTTCTTGTTTCTCATTGCCTTTGGCCCTTCTGTAATTTTGACATTTTTTGATACCTTCTCCATCTTTAGATTATTTTCTTCCTTAATTTTGGATCATAGTAATCTTCCAGCTCTCTTCTCTTCTCTGGCTTTTTAAAATGTTTTCTCATCTTCTTATCCTATAAACATAAGAATCATCTGAGATTCTTTCTTGTCTTCATCAAAATACCCTATATCCATTTCCTCCTTCTGAATGATATATTTCTATGATCTAATGGAACCATTCTTTCCCGGGTCACCTCTGGCTAGAAGCTTCAGTGTAATATTTAACCCTGCCTCCTCCCTCGTGCCCAGAGTCCATCATCTCTCATTCATTCATCCTTCCCATTCCCGTTGTCATGACGCTGTTGAGGCTCATAGTACATCATGCCTGAATTATTGCAACTGCCTCCTTAAGTGGTCTTTCCACCTCTGGCCATTCTCTCCTCTTCAATTCACCCACTATATCACTACTAGACTACTTGTCAGAAATGACTGCTTTGAATATTTCCTTCCCTACCCCCAATTCAAGATTTCTACCGTGCTCCGTTGCCTGCCAAGTAAAACCCAAACTCTCTGGAGCTTCACAGAGAGCTCCTAGCTTTATCCTCCACTTCTCTACAAGCTGTTTATTTGCTGTTCATCATATAAGCAAATATTTTTTTGACTTCCTGGGACTCTCTGCCATGTGGATGGCTTCTCTACTCCTGTCTTAGTCCTTTGAATATTCAAGGCAAACTTGGAGTCTTCATCAGTTAGAAGGACTCCCCTCTAATTATCCATGGTATTAAAGGTTCTCTCCCTATTCTAATCTCTTTGCACTACTTCTGTGGCTTTTATCACATGTTAATTTATCTTATTATCTAAGTACAGTAAATCCTCACTTAATGTCGGTGATAGGTTCTTGGCACTACAGCAAAACGACATATAATGAAACCAGTTTTATGATAGGCTAATTGATATAAACAAGAGTTAAGTTCCTATGGCACCTCATCAATGTTATAACAAAACAATGTTGAACGAAACAATGTTATTCAAGGGCCTGCAGTACATCTTTTATCTCAAACTATTTTACCAACTAAATGGTAAACCACCTTGCCCATGTCGAAAGTTCTTCAGTGGTTCTCCACAGCTTTCAGGGTAAAGTTTAAGCTATTCATGTTGGTGTGTGAGTTGCTCCACAATCTGGTCCCTGCCTGCCCATGAGATGCACACTGCAGTACCCTGTGACACTGCACTCACTGCCTCTGTTCTTTTGCCAACCCATCTTTCCTAGGGCAACATACACTATTCCTAGGGGCTGTGACACTTTCATCTTTCCACCCGTATTCCTATCACTAGCCCAGGGGCTGGTGATATAGGGAAATGAGACAGGTGTGGCCTGGGGAAGGCCAGCTGGTTATGTAGATAGGTCTCCACAAGGTGGCATTTACTTAGGTGCATTTATCATGACTCAGGACCTGGCTTTCAGCCTGAAGGCCTGAGAACTTTGCATAACATCCTGTGAGTGGATCCGTCTCACAAAGGTGGAACCTTACTAACCAAGCTCACAGAGGCTACTGTATCAAACTGGCGTGGAGCACATTGACTGGACTGTTACTGGTATTGACCTGACCTGGGCATTTTCCCATTTATATGCCACACAGAAAGCCAATTCTCTCATTATATATTTGCAGCCAATCTCTTTTATTTCACAATGGCTAATCATGTGAATTATGTATGGATTTTATTAGCTCTCCTGTTCAAGAACAAACAACCTCATTTCTGAATTCTGGGGAAAAGATGGGAGCAGTTTCCTGTAGCTTCTAGGTACTCATTAACCTGGCACTTAATAAGTCCTTAATAAATATTTCTGTGACATGACCAGGTTAGTTGTTGATTGAATAAGTGAATTCAGATCCTGCCATGAGGTATAACATTGCTTTGATTGCAAAGTTAACTGTTGCAAAGTAACTTCTAGATATATTCCGTATGATCTCATTACTGGAAAACCATATTTCTCTTTGAAAATTCCTTTAACCCTTCTTACGCATTTCTAACGATTTTTCATCACATTCCTAGCCATCTCATTAGGACCCACCACAGGTGTCGGGGACCTAACTGGCATTGCGGACTGAGCCTTCTCCCTGATATCCTGCCTTCCTTATCTCTTCCGCTGCTCTGACTGTTGCCACCACAAGCCTTACCTCTTCCTCGTTTCTCCTTCCTCTCAAAGCAGTTTTGTTTCTTCTACTTTCTAAACCAGAATTGCCTCGGGGCTCACCTCCATGGTAAGTGGTCCAGCTCAGACTGCATTGCGACCTTTGACGCGGCACTCGGTACTTGCACATCTCTGGCTTCAGCCCTCCACTTGAGGTGCATGTTTTAAAAATAAATAGCTCTGAATACAGTGAAAATAGTGGGATCCCTCATCTGAGTGATGTTAAAATACAGTTGGTTCACAA